CCACAAAATTTGGACATCTGTAAGTAAAATACTAGAAGATGCACTTTAAGTAGTCATTTCCATGCATTGCATATATAGAATATATTTTTGTCCCAGATACAAATTCTTGGCTCCAAGAAGAAAGCTTAATGGGGGCTCAGACTCCAGAGAGCCACTGCCAGGGACCTCTGACCTCCTCCTTTCAGCCCCATGGGCCACCCTCCATTTTTCCCATCAGGATCCCTCTCCATTTTAATCAGCTATAATGTAGAAGCACATCTTCTTTTTTTTTTTTAAGTTTGCTGTATTTACTTAAACAAGATAGTGTTTATGAAAGCTCCTTGGAAACCATAAAATTTTATGTAAATGTAGGGGTTTTTATTTAATAAAAATTTATGAGGCTTGTTCCTGAATTATTTTATGGATCAACATAGCCTTTTATGGTTCTCTCCAAACAAAACAAAAACACAACAAAACCCCAATTGCTATTCATTTGTAAGTGCATCTTGATTGATTTTTATCCCCTGTGGAGCCGCAGTCTTCAACATTGGAAGGGGAAAGAAATCTTCACATTTGAATGGGTGATCTATTTTCCTCCCTAGAAATAATCACTGTCCTGAGAAATGCAAAAACACATTAGGAATAAAAGGCCAGGGAATATTATTCCCCAATAATAAAGTCAGTGGCACAGAAATCTTTGGATCCAATGGAGCAATTTTAAAGCACAGTAAAATTTGATAAATGTGGACCCCAAGACTTCCAAATTTAAGAACATTTAATCATGGTGTGAGCTAAACTTTAGACCATCTACACAAAGGAGGCAAGGAGAGTTTACCAAGCAAATAAAGAGTACAAATATGATCTTCAACTGTATTTAAGAAACCATATGGGCTCGGCGCCTGTGGCTCAAGCGGCTAAGGCACCAGCCACATACACCTAAGGTGGCGGGTTCGAATCCCCAGCCCGGGCCCGCCAAACAACAATGATGGCTGCAACCAAAAAAAAATGGCCAGGCGTTGTGGCGGGCGCCTGTAGTCCCAGCTACTTGGGAGGCTGAGGCAGGAGACTCGCTTGAGCCCAAGAGTTGGAGGTTGCTATGAGCTGTGATGGCATGGCACTCTACCCAAGGGGATAGCTTGAGGCTCCGTTTCAAAAAAAAAAAAAAAAGAAACCATATGTTAGGGGCTCTTAAAATTATTTTAGTAATACTTTCTATTCTCCCTTATCTATTCACTAAATCAGTTAATGATACACAGCCAACTATTAGACTTTTAGTTCTTTTGAGAACATCTAGGAATGCTATTGTATTACTTGAAAGTTATTTAGACACTTACATTTTCTAATTGAAGGATATAAGTGTTCACTCTGAGCTGGGTATTATGCAAAGCTCTTTATACACTTCAATACCTCCCCATTTTACAGGTGAGAGCACCAACTCAGAAAGTAGGAGAATGTAGATTTAATCATAAAATAAGTGAGTAGTAAAAGTCAGACTCTGAAATTTAGGTCTGATACACAATGGTATCATAATTGCCTCTTGTATTTCTTTATCAGTGTTTTATCTTAAACACTTTTTGTTAATTTGTCATGCTGCTCCCAAGTTATTCCATACTTACAAGGTCTTTCTGTCACAATAAAAAGATGACTTGTTTATAGCCTCACTCCTGCTAAGCTCCGGGTTCTTGCCTCAGTGGGCTCAAGGGCAAAGGATGAAAGAAATCTCTGTACTTGAATTTATCACATGCACTGACTCAACTTGGGGGAGTCTGAAACTATCATGGCTTGTTTAATAGTAACGAATGCTTTACAGTGCTTGTTCTTTAATTTACAAATAGTTTTCCCCATGTCCATGGCATCCCACTAGAGCTTACACATTCTGATAAAACCAACCAACATACACTAGGAATGATGCTGTTTTTGTATCAGACAAGCACAAACTAAGCTGTTTGAAGGCTGCAATCCATGAGTTTATTTTATGTCCTAAGTTCATTTTTATTTCTCATTCCCTCTGTACTTCCTGGTTCCAGCAGGATATTCTAGTAGTCCTTCCCACCCAACCAGAAACAGGAAGCACCTGAAAAGCCATGAGAAAAAGGTCCTTGTGCCAAATCAAAAACCAATTATTTTTTAAAAAGTCAAAAGCTTGAGTCGTCTTGGAAAGGTGCCCACCAGAGGGTTTCCTCAACCAAACCAACCTCCAACATTCTGAAAAGAAAACAGCTGGCCCTCATGACAACCCTGGGAGGCCAGTCCTTCTGAGCACTTTCCCCTGAGTTTTCTCTGAGCCCCTCACAATAACCCAAAGAGGTAAATGCAGTGGAGGCATTGTATTACAATGTCCACTCCTGATGAGGAGTAAGTGGGCAGGCCAGAGGCCACAGAGGCAGGGGTGTGCGGGAGCTGTCTCAACCCACAGCCCCCACCAGGGTCTTCAGGCTGTTCCACAGGAAGTGCATCCAGAGACAGCAGTCCCCTCCTCCCCTCCCCTGTGCCCACAGCTGGGACCAAAATGGGTTTCCACTATCCCTTCCTTTTAAGGCCTCAACCAACTGCAGATTTTAAGTGGGTTTCAGTTTTTCCAACTGTAAAAGGAAATAATCCTGCCTAACGCCACCTTGCATGTGGATCCATGTAGCTTTAGCCCTTGGGGAGAGGACTCAGAAGTGCTTGAAATGGCAGGGAATTTCTTCCCACTTTTAACACACCATGTTCCCTGTTTTCCTGGCAGATGGGAAGCTTCTTGATAACCTGGGATTGTGTCACTTGGGTTTTGTCTATCTGGCGCCTGACAAGTACTTAATAAGATCAAGAGGAATCTATTCCCAGTATCCAAGTCAGTCAGCCTCTGGTGTACATTAGCCTCTAGTGTATAATATGGTATATTAACATACATATGCTTAGTATCTAGTACATATGCCAGAACTGTTTTAAGAACTAAGAAGCAGTAACTCACTTAATCCTCTTCACAGCCCCTTGAGGTGGGTTAGGCACAGAGAAGTTAAATAATTCATCAGAGGTGACACTGTTAATAGGTGGAAGTGGCAGAGCCAGGATATGAAATCTGGGTCCAGAGTCTGTGCTCTAGCCACCATACTACTTTGCCTCTCAGTTGTGTGGCATATGAATTCAGACAGGAAAAAAAAACTCAGGCTTAGACAAGACATACCACCCTCTGGACCTCAATAAAGACAGGAGGCTGGTCTAGGTGATACGCAAATCTAATACCCTTCCACTGTACATCATAATGTGATGTGTCATAAGAGCCAAAGCACATTTAGTTTAGTCTGCAAGGCTGCAAGGTAGAGAGACCCCTAATGTCAACAGAGCATACGCAAGAGCTCTCTGTGGCCTGTCTCCCCCACCCCCACCAACCCAGTCGTCTAGAGAAATCAGAGTATCTGTTGCCACTCTCCTCTTGCGGGGCCTAGAACTACAGAAACTTTCAGCTTTGTTTTCCCCCTTTTCTAAGGGGCTGCTCTTACATTCGGGAACCTTTTCAATGCCCAAAATTTGAAACCTGTGAACACGGAGGGAGGCCCAAGGCAAGGTGGATAAGATCCAGTGAGACTTCTTTTGTTCAAACAAATAAATTGGGGGGCAAGGGATTAAAAAACAAAAATCCAGCATTTAGAGAAGGAACAGGTTCAGCTCACCCAAAGTTAGGCTAGGAAGACCTAAGATCATAAGCCATAAGCCATAAGACCAAAGAAAATTACAGTATTTTCTGAATGCCTAATGTTCAAATTCAACTGGGCTAAATAGTCATTAACTCAATCATCCTCAATGCCCAAGCATTAGAAAGTTCTAAGCAGGAAACCTGACAAGATGCACATTCCTTCCAAGACCCAAGCACCCCTTGGTGAGAAGCTCTTAAAACTGCATCAAACACCCTGGGAGGCCAAGATGGGAGGAACCCTTGAGTTCAAATGTTTGAGACCAACCTGAGCAAGAGCAAGACCTCATCTCTATAAAAAATAGAAAAATTAGCCGGACATTGTGGCAGGTGCTTATAGTCCCAGTTACTCCGGAGCCTGAGGCAGGAGGATCGATTGAGCCCACAAGTATGAGGTTGCTATGAGCTATGACACCATAGCACTCTGGCCTGGAGCAACAGAGTGAGACTCTCATCTCAAAAAACAAAAATAAACAAAAAAAAATCTGTACCCAATTCTCTAGCATTATGAGGTTTTAAGATCATGTGAGAAGGGAAGTCCATTTTGGGAGGTGTTACGTTTCTGTCTAGCTATTGCCTTAGGAATCCCAGGTACCTCCTCTCCCATCTCTGGACATCTGTACATGATGCAACCATGAACTTTAGAGGAGCCTAAAGGCTGACTGGGAGCTACATAGGACTATAGAGATCATCTGGGTGAACCTGTGCATTTTCAGATGAGGAAACTGAGGTCCAGAAAGGGGAAGTAAGTTTCCCAAGCCAAACAGCATCTGGAAGTGCCAGGAACCCAAGGGTTTGGTCCCTTGGCTGAGGTTTATTGAATTTCAGTCTCTGGGACTTCATAAAGCATAATCAAAACCATTGGCTCTGGACAGGCATGGTGGCTCATGCCTGTAATCCTTGCACTCTGGGAGGCTACAGCAGGTGGATTGCTTGAGCTCAGGAGTTTAAGACCAGTCTGAGCAAGAGCGAGACCCTGTCTCTAAAAATAGCTGGGTGGTATGGCAAGCACCTGTAGTCTCAGCTACTTGGGAGACTGAGGCAAGAGAATCGCTTGAGCCCAAGAGTTTGAGGTTGCTGTGAGTTATGACACCACGTCACTCTACTGAGGGTGACGAAGTGAGACTGTCTCAGAAAACAAAACAAAAAACCACGGGCTCCAAGGCAGAGGCATGCAAGGTCGGGCAGGGCCTCAGGCCCACTGAGAGGCCACCTGGGGACAGACAGTGCTGCCTTCTCACTAGCATGTAGAAAGTTGGAGGAAACATTCAGGTGGTGGCATGGAGAGTGGAGGGTGTTTAGGGCAAGAGGTGGGTGGAGAGATGAGGGAGAGTCAGTCCCAGCTCACCTTCATAGCAAGGGATCAGCGTCCTGCCTTTGGCCTGGAGGTTGGATGGGATGATGTAGCAGAAGCCATGGGGCAGGATGTGGTCTGATTCGTAGTAGATATTCTTCCAGCGGTGGGCACAGGCCTATGGAGGCAAAGAGGGATGGAGAGCAGGAAAGTTGGTCCCCCAAAGTCTGCAAACCAGACTCCTGGCAGGACCAGCTGGTTCCCTCTGTGGGGGGAGAGAGGAACAGAGGGGCTGGGAAGCCACACCTTCTTATCAGGCATCACTATGAAAACCACACAAACCAGAATGAACCCCTGGGAGGCAAAGAGAAGGAGACAGACAGTAAACAAACATCAACAAATGACAACTGTGGCGATACTGAGTACTGGAAAGAAAGGGTATGGAATAGAGAATCTCGGGGTTGGAAGGATGGTTTATAGCAGAGGCTGGGGCCCTAAAGCCTGGGAAAGTACTACCTGCACTGAGAGAGTTTCAGGATGAAGAGATAGCAGGTGAAAAAGGCACGAAGTGAGAAAGCCTCAGAGGTTCAAGAAAAGAAAGGAGGCCAGTGGCGCTGTTCTGGAGTGACCATGGTGGAAGGAAGACAAGGCCAGAGAGGGGGCTGGGGGCCAGGCGAGCAACTGTGACTTCAGTGGACATGCAGTGGGAAGCCAAAGGAGAGGCTTGCATAGGTGAGTGGTGCTATGTGATTCACAGTTTGCAAAAGGTAATTTGGCTGCAGTGGAGACTGCAGGTGAGCAGGTGTGGAAATGAACAGCCAGGTGAGAGATGATGCTGGCCTGGCTCAGGGTGGGGCACTGGAGATAGGCCCAGGAGGTGGCTTCAGGATGCACATCAGAGGTACAGCCAGTGGGCCCCAGGGAACACCGGGATGTGAGGAGAGCAGGAAAGGGAGGAACTGCCAATATTCAACTGTGTTTTTAACCTACAGAAACACAGCTACAGCACGCATCTCATTAACGAGAAGTAAATGTTTGTGGATGGTTCTCTTTTTTTGATGTAAATTTACATATTGCTAAATCCACAAATCCCAGATGTATCACTAATGGGCTCTGACAAATGTGCATGCTCATGTGACCAACCCCTAGCAAGACATAGAACATTCCCATCTCACCAGACAGTTTTCTCATGTCAGGGACCATGTGGTTTTGATAGGCTGGTCAGGGAAACCTCTCTCAGGAGAGACCTGAGGAAGTGAGAGTGCAGGTGGCGGGGAAACCTAAGGGAAAGTTCAGGGCAAAGAGTTCTGGGTGGGTGAGCAGCTGGCACGTGTGAGACGAGGACATCAGTATGGACAGCCTCGCAGCATTAGGGTCAAACCTAAGAGAAGCACTATAAGGCAGGGCTGTTCTTGTCAACAGACCTGGATGCAGTGCCAGCAGCTAGAACATAGACCTGGTTCATTCTCTGCCCCAGTGAACACGCCCTGGCCTCTGGCTTGGACATGACAGTGGCCCCAGTTTTGGAGAGTGTCTCCACACATCCAGATTCCAGCACAGCACTGATGAGGAGCCGATTTGCCCACTCAGAACACAAACTCTGCCCAGCCCACCTCTTCTGACCACTCACCATTCACATCTGTCATCATTCTACTTCACGCTGGCCAGTGGATGCATTTTCTTAAAATAACGCATTTTAAAATCATAAGAGTTTTGTTTGGGCTGGGGCTGGGTTTGAACCTGTCACCTCCAGTAGCTGGCGCCCTACTCTTTTGAGCCACAGTCACTGCCCAAATCATAGGAGTTTTTTAACATCTTAGTTTGTTTATCTCAAATCCACTGTTTCTCTAAGTTATAACATAGAGCATTCTGATGGTCTCCCCTTGACCTCTTCTGCAAGCCTGAAAGTAGGCAGAGACGTCCTGAGAATTTCTGTTTTCTGTCCAGGAATACCAAGTCTCAGAGAGGGCTTTGCCTAAGTGGCAAACAGTAAGTGGTGCTGCAAACTGGATTAGAATCCACAAATTTGAGTCCTCCTTGTCTTGCTATAAAGCATTTCCTATCTTAAAACCTCTAATTCCTGCCTAAGGAAACATCAAAATCCACCCACACGACCACCACCTCCCTACCCAGGCCTGATGGCTATTTATTGTCCATACAATACCCCCCACAGGGCCCAGAACACCTGAAATAACCACTCTGGAGTAGAATGGAATGGCCAGCATCACCTCATGGGTAAGGGGAATGGATCCCCGAGGTTATCCCACGGTAAGATCACTGCCTTCTAAGCTCTCCACTCTTTATCCTTCCAGCCAACTGCCACCAGGGCCCCCATCAAGGCCACTCTCTGCCCAATAGCAAAGAGGACACACTTGGAATGGTTCTCAAAGCCACAACTAGCCCACACTCTAACTCTTGTCCCATAACATCAAACTACAGAAAACAGTCTATTGCTATTCCTCTACTGCAACCCATCTTCCTCCTCCCACTTGGTACTGCTTTGTGCTAAAATAGTACATTTCTCAATAGATTGTCTATTTCTCAATAGACAAGGAACTATAAAAACATTATCACTAAGCAGATAATCACTACATACTGCCAAGTAATTGATTTTTTTAAAGTTCTGACTCAATTCTGATGGTTTGCTAATTTACATCACTTGTTTTCATGAAATTTGTGGGTACAGTAGTTATATTTTAGTTTATGGACTCAGCAAAGATCTTAGCTGATGGTGTTTTATCATATTTCCAGGTTGCCGGGACTATGAAAAGAGGTTGCCAGCTAGCTGAGTGCAGACACAAGACAGAACTCACTGCATCTCATGCCTGGTTTATTATTGCCTCTTTTTTTATATGCCATAAACTATTTAAAGAGTGATCTTAGAGAATTTCTAGAAGATCCAAATACTACATTTCACATTAAACTAAAATTACAGCATTCTGGGAGGTCAGAGAGCAAAGTGTCAAAGGCAGGATCCACATAGGAAAACAATGAAAAGTCTCTTGGAATATAAATTATAGGAAGAAAAGACTGTGTTTAGCCCTGATTATCATTGTATATACACACATGTCAATCTGACCTCTATATAAAAAGATAAAATTCCTAAGGACTGTCTCCAAAGCATTAGCAACTCCATCCATCTCTCCAAATGAGTTCTGTCATGAGGGAGGGATGGGGCAGAGTGGGAAAGAATATGAAAGGAACATTCTCTGGAAACAGCAAGATCTACTCAAACTCAGATTTCAAATAATCATAAGAAAAGACTAGGAGGACCCAGCATCACTCCGATCTTAGAATATGGACATATTTTGAGTTATAAAGATTGTTTTCCCTCTCATAAGAAGAAAAGAGAAAGAAAATGAACATTTTATTTCAAAGGCCTTTTTTTGTATACGGAAATAGGACATCTTGGAGGGGCCACTGGGTGGGGGTGCTGGGCCACAAAGTCTTGCCTGCCTCACTCCACCCCTCCTCCAAGTGCACCCACCACGGAGAGATGGCCAAAGCCTTTGTCATGCTTCCAAGTTCAGAGTGCACAGCTACAGCCAGGCCAGGGCTGCTGAGAAGGATATGTGATGGGAACAGGATCAGAGCGATGCTGTGAGGCCACAAAACACCCACAGACAAGCTCCCTAGCTCAGGGAGGAAGGAGAAGCTAAGTCCTCTTCGGTGCTGGAAATGTTGTTTGGAGAATGTCTGCCTAATGAAAATCCATCAAAGTATACGCTGATGATTTGTGCACTTTTTTACATGTGTGTTATACAGCTCAATTAAAAAGTTCACTTTAAAAAAAAAAGCAGCAGGAAACAGAGCAACAAAAGTAAATGTAAAAATGTACCCTGTGGCTTTGAAAAAAAATGGACAGATGGGGAAGCGGTGAACAGATAGGGACAGTCCTGGTGATTAGAAAGGAAACGGCAGAGAGATAGAACCAGAGAACACTGCTTCCACCCAGAAAGAATCTAGCAGCTTCAGTTATTTGTTGTCTGAGCCTTGGCAATTCTGATGAAAAGGAGAGACATTAGACCTGAGAATTCTGACCCCCTCCAGGGTCAGAGAGAAGTAGTGCCTGTGCTGGGTTTGTGCAGGGGTTATATCTGAGAAGAGATTTCCCCCTCTATTTCTTAAAATGTCATCTGCACACTTGAGTTCAGGGTAAGAGGGGGAGAAGGGAAGGGGCTTGCCTCTAACCCTGACACTGTGCTTACATGGTTTCATTTGTCCCTAGGCAAAAACTGGAAGGCACCACAATGCCCTTGGAGCTGAGAAGGGTAGGTACTATGCCAAGGTCAACTTGCCCAGCCCACCTGACAGCCTGGGTCATACCACAGAGCTGGATGCTGGATCTACGACCCACATGATGCCATTTGTCATTGAGATACTTCACTCTGTCACAGCTTTCAAATTCTCCATCTGTTCTTTACATTGAAATCAGAACCAGGTGCCAGTTTTAAAAATGCCACCCCACCTCTTCTTCTTCAAACTCGACCTTGAGATCCAATATTATGCTCCTTTGGAATACAGGTCTCTTGCCTATAACCCCAAGCACCTTGCAAGTTCTCAAATATGTCTGAACAACGTACATCTTTCCTATCATTAATGTAAAAATAAACACTTCCAGAAAGATGTGACAGGTAGAAATGAGACATTAAAGAAATATCAAATGGATATGAAGCCTCCAAAACGTAAATATGGACTGGATGGTCTCCTATTGTGCCTTGCTTCATCTGTCATTTCCAAGGGGCATTTCACTTCTCTTCTATCAACCGATTAGAATCAGCTTTGGTTTCTAATTAGACACTTGGTCCCTATATTATCCAAAAACACTTTTAAACACCATTCCTTAAAGAGCTCTCCACTGGGTACTGAGGGAAAGTGGGAAGATTTAGTCTATGTCCCCAGGTGGGTTCCATAGAAGAGGACAAATACACATGAAATAAATTATACACACAATAACGAGTAACAACGTGATGTTGAGTTCCTAAAGGCACAGAAGATGCTAAGCTGGTTCCATACAGCTCATAACAAGCTTCATGGAAGAGGCAGAGCCTAAACTGGGGGAAGAAGAATGACCTAGATGGAAGGGGGCAAGGAAGAGAGGACTGAGGCCTTTCCCAGCAAGATCACATGTGTACAAAAAGCCACGAAGGACAATCAATGATAAAGAAACCAAACTTTCCAATTTAAAAATGATCAAAGGGCTTAAACATTACTCCAGAGAAAATATACAATTGGCCAGCAAGCAGATGAAAATATCTCAAATCACTAATCATCAGGGAAATGCAAATCAAAACCACAGTGACATTATCACCTGGTACTACCAGGAATGCCACTATAAAAAAAAAATAATAACAAATAGTGGCAAAATGTGGAGCAACTGAAGGCCTTTTGCACTGCTGGTGGGGATACAAAATGGTACAGCCATTCCAGAAGACAGTGTGGAAGTTTCTTTAAAAGCTAAAAATAGAATTACTATATGAACCTGTAATCTCACTTCTGAATATATACCCCAAAGTATTGAAAGCAGGATCTCAAAGAGATATTTGTACACACATGCATAGCAGCGTTATTCACAAGAGCCAAGAGACAGAAATAACCAAATGTCCATTGATGGATAAATAGAGAAAACGTAGTGTGCATTATACAATAAAATACTATTCAGCCTTTTAAAAATGAAATCCTGTCATATGCTCTAACAGTGATGAACCTTCAGGACATTGTTCTAAGTGAAACAAGCCAGCCACAAAAATACAAATACTACATTTGCATTATATACAAATACTAGAAACAGAAATAGAATGGTGATGCCTAGGGACCAGGAAGGGAGGGAAAAAGGGAGTTGCTGTTCAATGGATACAGAGTTGCAGTTTTACAAGATAAAGTTCTAGAGATTATTCACATAGTTACCACTACTGCACTGTGCACTTAAAAATGGTTAAGATGGTAAACTGTAGATGTTTTTGACCACAATTGCAAAAACAAACAAAAAAGTCCAAGAAAGGCAGATGCTGTCAGATGCCCCTCTTTCTCCAGTACCCAGAGTAGTTTACTAAATGGATACAATAATTGCATAAACATAAATAGCCCTGCATGCAATGAGATAGGACAGTCCACGGCACCATATCCACAACGTTCCAGCTCTGCCTTCTTGGTTTCCTTGACTAAATCTTCCCTGCGGCCCTCTTGCTACTCATGTTCCCAGAGATAGTCTCTTCTTGATAATGCTTTACAGTAGGGCAGAATGCTCTGTCTTGTTCCTCTGGAAACAAGTTCTCATCTACACAGAGGTTATCCCTCCATGGGGAGAGGAGATATTTCTAGAGGAGCAAACTCAGGCTCTAGGCTCAATACCCTTAAGGGCATCTCGTGCTAGGCTGCCACCAGGCCACACCCTCCACTCTGTTTGTTCTGGATCTTGATCTCAGGCCACCCTTTGATTTATAGAGGGGTCTGTGCCTTCTCTTTCTTTCCCTAGAATGTCAGACGAGAGTTCTGGCCCTTCTGGGGCCAAGTTGTCCAGTCAGCCTGAGGCCACCGTGTCTGGAGGAATCTGGGGGCTTGGAGAGAGTCCAGGGCTGGACACAACAATGAAGAAAGGACTGGAAACCAAGGCAAACAGTGGGCTGGGGAGCCTCAACAGAACCTACACAAGACTGGTGACAACACCCTTCTTCTTTCTGCTGAGGGCCCAATAAGGGGGAGATGCTTAACTGTGCTGAAGGTTGTAGGATTCAGATGAACAGCTCCTGCCACAATGAAGTTTAACACAAAGTGGGCTCCTCAGAGAGGGAACAGAAACACTTTGCCCAAATCTTAACCAAAAATTCTTCACAAAACCCTCAGTTCCATAGTACATGGCCCAAAGGAAGCTCTCCATAAGTGACAACCAGTATTAACTCCCCTTCCTGGTCGTATGCTTTTATTTTAAGTAAATAAATAAATAAAATAAATACATATATACATAAAATCTATCTATCTTCATACAGCTTCCAGTAAAAGCCAATGGCAAGAAAATGTCTATGAAGTCAGAAGAGTGGTGATCTTGGTGGGGACAGGACCACTGACCAGGAAAGAGCCAAAGGAACCTGCTGGGGCATTAGCAGTGAGGACACACGAGTGTGTGTGTCTGAGCAAATTCAGCTCATGCGGAACGTACATGTCGGCATGCAGCTACACAGGTTAAGCACTTCAGTGTTAGACCTCAGTAAAAAAGTTTAAAAGGAAAAAGGGGGAAATGGACAAAAAGTAAATCTTTGTAACAGTCAGAGATTCCTTTTTTCGGGTTGAGTCCAGTAAAACTTTCTGTGATGATGGAATCCTCTCTCTGCGGTTTCCAACAGAGCAGCCAGCAGCCCCATGTGGGTACTGAAACAGGGCTGATGCGACTTAAAACTTCATTTCTGATTTAATTGTGATAAATTTAATTCAAATAACTGCACGTGGCTGACGACTCCCTTACTGGGCAGTACAACTCTAAGATATCAAGAGCCTCAAAGGCAAAGACTTCTTTTCCTCTGTATCTCCCTTGAAGGACGCAATGGATCAGAATACATCATATGCACTTTAGAAGCCAAATAAATGACTAACTAAAAATAACATGTAATTCACAAAATGTAATCTCATGTAAGAATAAAGGGGAATGAGCTACTGCCACTTACAACATGGACTAATCTCCAAATCATTATGTGGAGTGAAAAAAAAATTACACAAGAGCACACGCTATAGGATTCTGTTGACCTGAAGTTGTAGAAAAAGCAACAGTAATAACTGGAAATGCAAATCATAGCAGGGGTTGTCTCGGGGGTAAGAAGAGTCAATGGGAAAGGGATATAAAAGAATTTTTTCAGATGATGGAAATAGTCTATATCTTGGTAGGGGTAATAGTTACACAGGTGTGTACAACTATCAAAACACAGACTGTAATCTTAAGATTTGTGTCATCTTATGTAAACAGCTCATAAGCCAGTCATTTTGAGGGGCTCTGCAGAACTTAAAAAGACACACACACACACACACAAAAGTTATGCAATGAATGAGATTTACAAAGTACTTTTCACATACATTTTATTTGTCCCTTTTCTTTTTTTTTTGTTTTTTTGAGACGGAGCCTCAAGCTGTCCCCCTGGGTAGAGTGCCGTGGCATTACAGCTCACAGCAACCTCCAACTCCTGGGCTCAAGCGAGTCTCCTGCCTCAGCCTCCCAAGTAGCTGGGACCACAGGCGCCCGCCACAACGCCCGGCTATTTTTTGGTTGCAGCTGTCATTGTTGTTTGGCGGGCCCGGGCTAGGGATTTGAACCCGCCACCTTAGGTGTATGTGGCTGGCGCCTTAGCCGCTTGAGCCACAGGCGCTGAGCCTATTTGTCCCTTTTCAATAGCCACATCTCAGCACCCTTGGACAAACATTTTTAACATCTGACAGATAAAGAAAATATAATTAAAAGATAAGCTATGTGTCTAAGCAGCCGTCCAGAATAAGCAACCTCAAAGCCATGCCCTTATCACATGCCATGCAGCTTTCCTGAGGGATCAAAGTCATTCATTCTCAGAGCACCACCCTGTCCCATGGCACCCCCAGAGGCCTTACCAACACTTGGCCATCAGCCTTGGGCTGCCGGGCCAGGCTCACCCCCATCCACTCATCATCCCGGTCTTCCCGGCAGGTCTTTCCACAAGGCATGCCCCGATTCTTCCCTGGAATAAAAAGAAAATAGCCCAACTTGGGTTGAGGAATGATGTTCTGCTCGCTTCTTTTGAAAAGGTCATCCACAGCCCAAATGTTTGTTACCCATAAGGAAATAAGGAACTTGCAACGAAATGTAACTCAACTCCATTGCTATGCATTGTACCCTATTTAAGGCAGCTAATTGTCTTTTATACAGCAAGGCTTTCTCC